AAAAACAGAAAACGAAGCAGCGAAAGCGAAGTTGTTTTACAGCTTTCAAAAACAGTGTTTTTACTAGTAGGTAATAACACTGCACTGCAAACAGTAGATGTGCAAGAACTTGTGACTGTTCAACAAATTGCAAATGGAAACATTGTGAAACACGTGGTGGACGGCGAAATGTTTGGCAATACAAATGTTTTTCTTAGAGTTATTTTTCGAAAATGTGAACCCTTCCCCTCCCGTATCTTTTGGGAATGTTATTTTCACAGGAATTATTGCAACGGAGAGATGTTGTTTCGCTCCACTTTGTGCATGGATCCGCGTCGTACATGGATCCGCGTCGGTGCTTTTTCGCGCCGCTATGAAAACCTAGCTATCGATCCGGTAGAGTCCAAACGTAACCTTAGTGAATAAACTGTCAAAATATTGAAATAGAGAAGAACTGTCAGCTCATATACGACTCGAACTGTAAGAAGTAGTTCCTCATCCGTTACTCAAACAACAAAATTAAATGTAATGCTTTATTAACTAAGTATTTTTTTACTGACCACAATGCAATGTAGAACTACTATCAAATTCAATCTAATCCATGCATGATGTTATTACTGTTTCTACATGTTTGAAGATATCTACCAATTATTAATATTATTCCCAAGTCCTTTTTGGTTCATCAACCTTCTATCTGTTTATTTCCACAAGAAGTATTTTTCATCGTCATCAGGTTTTGGGGTTGGATCAGGTACACATCTAGCTTGACATTCCCTATACTCTTTTAAACATTCAACGAGGGATTCTGTGCACACCACAAATTGTGATGCACAGAATTCCAAACAGGACTTGTAGCTTCCTGGTATTTGCCCATGACATTCATGCATTAATGCAAAGAGAGCCAGGAATATACACACAGTGGCAATTGACGATCCTTTCATCATCTGGAAATTGATTCGAGATCAGTTAATAATAACAAATTCATATGGTTTTTGAAAGATTTGGCATTAATACCACGAACTCAAGACTTTGATTGCATGGTAATAGGTATGTGGACATTATTATGTACAAGTATAGAGTTTCCTGAGCAGCAGATGAGTGAAATAGGAATCGTATCTTCATGGCAGACAGTATTTATGTGAAATTTATCGTCTCCGCATTTTGATTGGTAGGACCAATTGTCGTCTCGGCGTTTGATTAGCTGATGTTTTACCGCTCATAATTGTAAACATGGTGCCCGGTTACAGCGAAGTTGAAATGAGCGTTTTTACGCTAATACAACTAGACACAAAACAGTCAAGCCAGAAATTACTCCAAATAAACATCTTCGATTCGAATTCCAGCAAAAATATAAAAAAATATGGCATACAAACTGTATTACATTCCATAAAATCATCACCATATAATGTATCATATTTGTGCATTTATACGTGCATTTACTTTGTTTTGGTTTTAATTAACGTGCCTTGTACTGTGTCAGATCTAAAGCAACTTTTTCTTTTTCCCATTTTTGCTGTTAGTCCTCGTGGAAAAGCTTCTTTGCTCGAAACGTTGAGAAGTACATTTTTCTCTTTCCTATTCTAACTAACATCCAAGAAAAGTTGAATATTATACGCTTAGTTGGTCAAAAATCCAAAGGCAGTGTTGTAAAAGGTACTGAAAAAAAGTAACGAGTAGAAACTACAATTACTTTTTCTAAAAAGTAATTGATTAGATTACAAATTACTTTACTAGGAAAAGTAAATTATTAATTACCAATTACTTTCAAAATTACTTTTTATTTTACTTTTTGTATTTCTACCGGGTGTCCCAAAAAAAAGTACTCCTGTTTGATTCGTAATAACTTCTAGACAAGTAAAGCTTTTAAAGAGAAATAACTTGCATTAAATAGAGGAAGGACTAACTTAGATTTTGATATATTAGAGTTGTATTTTACTTAAAAATTCACGGAGATATTAATGTT